AGGTGCCATCAGGAGGTTCACCAGTGGGGCCAGGACACTAGAAGCCCTCCCACTGTTGCCCCCCAAGCACCAAGAATACAGAGCATCACTTGCCGCAGACTGAGAGTTCCTATCTATACCTTGTGGCTAATAGCCACTGATGGACCTGTGCTCTATATGTTTATCCAATTTCCTCTTGAAGCCATCCATGCTTGTAGCTGCCACCACCTCTTGTGGCAGTGAATTCCATGTGAGATTGGATTTATACCCCACCCTTCACTACCCAAAGGAGTCTCAGAGCAGCTTACAATCCCTTTCCCTCCCCACAACAGACACCCTGGCTGGACTCTGTGTCATTATATCCTGCTGAGATCACCAGAGCAAATTGACGCTGAGTGGCCAAGGCCGGGGCATCCACCCAGCGCTCGTTGTATTTATTTCCACAATGGGCCTTATGCTTAGTAATTTTATAAAGTCCTATCATGTCCCCACTTAATTGTCTCTTTTGTAAACTGAAAAGCCCCCAAGTCCTCAGCCTTTCCTCCTAGGGAAGGTGTTCCTGAGACATGACCAGAGTCCTGTTTTAAGAATCAGGGAAGATGTTGCAAGGGGGATGTACTAAAAGGAAGGACAGGATTGGGCCTTCAAGTCTCTCCCATTGTTTCCAATGGGCAATCCTGTCCTTCCTTTTAGTACATCCCATTGCAAGGACCCGGATTTCCAAGCCAGGTTGCCAGGTCTGGGTTGGGAAACACCTGGAGACTTTGGAAGTGGAGCCAGGAGAGGGCGTAGTTTGGGGACAATGCCAGAGAGGCCGCCCTTCAAAGCGGCCATTTTCTCCTGGGGAGGTGAACTCTGGCAGCTGGAGATCACTGGTAAAAGCGGGAGATCTCCAGGCCCCACCTGGAGGCTGGCAACCCTGATTTCCGAGGCGACCCCGAAAGCAGCTCAGAGGCGTGTGTGTGCGGGCGCTGCTGCTCTCACGACGGGGAGGGGCGGGAGGCGCCTCCTCTTTCCTGGCTCTGGAGCTCTGAAAGGGTTAAAGCCGCCGAGGTCTTGGCTAGAGAGGCCGATCGAGGGAGGGAGGTGCTTCTGGGGGGGACCGGAAGTGTTGGCTTTTGAGCGGGGAGAGGGGAGGGGGCTTCCGACGGGCCTCGGCGGCGAAGAGCCCTGCAGCCGGGTCCTGGGAAGGTCTCTTCTCGAGGTAGTCACCATCTCCGTCTGGGAAGAAAGACGGTCCGCTCTCGGGCGGCCGGGG